CACACACACACACACACACAAAAATACATATGACCTTATCACTCTCTACAACTACCTGAAAAGAGGTTGTAGCCAGGTGGAGATCAGCCTCTTCTCCCAGGTAACTAGCGACAGGATGAGAGGACACAGCCTCAAGCTGTGCCAGGGGAGGTGCAAGTTGGACATCAGGAGGAATTTTTTCACTGAAAGGGCTGGAATGGGATGTTCAGAGAGGTGGTGGAGTCACCACCCCTGGAGGTCTCCAACAAACAACTGGACATTGCACTTAGTGCCATGGTCTAGTTGACAAGGTGGTGATCAAAGGTTGGACTCAATGATCTCTGAGGTCTTTTCCAGCCTAACCGATTCTGTGATATGTGTGCACAATCCATTCATATGCTCACACACAAGTACATCCATTTCTGTATGTACATGGGATGTAAAAGTGGGAACACTCCCTTACCTTGGGCTCTTTTAAGTAACAGTGCATGGCCTGAGTCACATCAGCAGCATGAACTGCATTATGGTAAGGGTTTTGACTGTGATAATCTTCTTGAACCATAACTGCAGGAAAATAACAAATATCCAAATTTAAATAAAACAGCAATTTTTTCAAGTACCATTTTATATTCCCTTATTAGGCACAGAAATATGCAATATCACAAGTTACATACACATAAAAGCATCAGAGTCAATAAATCATCAGCTGAACCTCGATGCAGGTGTAAGATTTTTATGCGAAGAAACAGTATTTTCTAAAGGAAATCAACTACATGTGAAGTCATCTCAGAGCAAAAAGTAAACAACTTTAAATCAATATATAATCTGAGATACTTTGAGAACTTCCCAAGGAAGGCTCCCTTTGATAATCTATCCTGTCTGAATGGTGAGGCAACCCTGAATACAAAACTAAGGTGGCACTCTTTACCAAAGCATCAAGATGACTTTGCATCATGCCTTGAAAACAGACAGGATCAGAGGAATTAGGCACTGCTTTCCTGTCAAATGAAGTGCTTTTCTTTCCCCTTCCGGAAAGAGTCATGGAAAGTCACCTCTATGTGTTTATAGGAATCTTCTCATAGTTGCCTGTAGACAAATTTAAGCCCATATGCAGTTTAGAAAACAATCTCATTTAGATGATGGTCTGACTAACCACTCCTAGATTTAATATTCCCTATTTGACTTCTTCCTTGCTTTCCTCCTATTTTATCCATCTTCCTGTCTGTCTTATAACATTATGGGTAGAATTCTTTAAAGGACATCAACATTAACTCAAGTACCTGGAATGAAAGAACTATAACGATAAAAAGGATGGAGGGGAAGAAGATCTGAAGCACAGCAATCAAAGTATATTCTAAAGGTTTGCCTGATGTGACACATTAGTTCTCCCAAGTCTGTCAGTCCCATGCAAACAAACATGCCCACAGCCTCTTTTTTTACCCAGTTTACAAGCCCAAACCATCCATGTAACTGTGACTTCCCTGCTACATCATTACTGACATGAGATTTCTGAAGAGCTGTGGTTGAAGTCAAAATACTGTAACCATTATATAAGCTCAACAGTACTCATCGCACAGCTGACAGCTCATATGAAAAATAATGAAAACAAGCATCTCCAGGCTCTATTAACCTGCAGTAGAACTCTCTCCCACCTATTCCTCACATCAAGGGCATGAATGCATATATCCTTGGCTTACTCCTCAATTTTTGGGGGCTTCATATGCTAGTCCTGAAGTCTACAACTTCCCTACTTTATGTTTTTTAATAACACAGACCGAGGTCAACATTTTGACCATGGTCTGCCAAAACTAGAACAGCACAACTTTATGTTTTGAAGAATGTAGTACTTTGTAATTTCTCTCCCCTTGTTCAGGTCTGGAATAAGAACTTGAAAACACACAGTAGGAAGATGCAGATCTCCAAGTAACCTTTGGGAATCACTGAAAGACTACATATGTGTATAAACGTATATACACACACACAAAGTAAAATACTGAGATCCTACTGAGGACTAAAACCAGATTTCTCTGCTTAAAAAGATTCCTGTAAATTCTCAAATAAAGTGAATTTTGTATGGCACTATGGACCACTTGAGCTGTCTTAGTCTTCCAGAATTTGGTCTTCAAATTACTTTGGACTAGAGTATAAGAGGTAGAAAAGAAAAGAACAAACTATGTTCATGCTAGGAAGCTGTATTTGGAAGAAAGGTTCCTTGATGTAACAGATGGACTAGGGCAGAGCTAAGAAATGTTCTGCTTATTGATATTAATTAGAAGGCATTAACAAAAAGGGAAAGGTGGTAACTTTCAAAATTAGAGTAAAATTTTGTCTTCTTCCAAGTCTAATCTCCTTTTAGAGTAGTCACCATCTTTTGATAACCAGATAATTAATCCAGTCACTCCTAACTTGTCTTTCATTTCAAGTACTATCATTTGCTAAATCTCAACTAAGGAGGAGATAAGCAAGAGGAGAAAGACAAACCATGCTCAGTTACAGCTCGAGTAGCCTAAGACCAGAATTCTATAACCATTTTCTTCACATTACAATATATCTGTCATTAAGGTCACCTGATACACCTTTCTTGAAACTAGAAGAAATTGAATCCACTTTAAAACAACATGAAATGCAAGACAGAACTGATTTATTTTCGTTTCTTAACCTGAAAGAGAACTAAATGATGGAAACAAAAACATTCCCTTATTTGAAAGGGGACAAAAGACTTTCAAATGTGATTTTCCCCTGTTAAATGACAAGCTTTGTAATCACAGAATTGTTCTGTCTGAACCTGTGAAACACTGCTAAAAGGGACCAGAAATTTGTTTCTTCTGCTCAACTGAAAAAAAAAAAAAAAAATCATCCTACTTTTCACAAAATGAAATAAGAGGTACTGTCATGGAAGAACCAAAGGAAAGAAGTCTCACACCAGCCCCTGCCTACATATTGAGATGCAGAAAGAGAACTCTTCCAGCTGTGGAGCGAATGTCCCACTTGGTTTGAATATTCCATGTTGTATTTACAATTCTTTCCATTGAATCATTCCAGTGCCACAGGCCCAAACACTGGAGTAAAACTGTCCTGCACTCTGTCTAGGGAAAAGCTGTGCCCACATTAGAGTGCTTACTTGTAGAAGAGTTTGAGTAAGCCAGAGACAGCAGTGAATTGGCACCAGTAAATAAGGCCAACCCAACATACTCCATAGAGTTAGGAAACTGTATCATTAACTTGGGAAGTAAAGATCAATACAGAAATGAAAATCAAAACAAAGTAAGGAGCTGTCCTGCCTTTCCCAAAGTAAATGTCACACAATGTCACACATACTTCTGATGATTTAGATTTAATAAATGGTATGCAGCATCTGCTATGAAACTACTGAACTTGGTAATACTTGTTTGGATTTAACACTCAGAAACTTTGAGAGATTGTCTCAATCAGTGCTATTTAAATCACTGCACAATCTGAACTGCATCAGTACTCTTCAAACCTTATTGCTAAGCTACACCAGCACTTCAGTTAAGGCACAAAAATGCAGATAAACAGCAATATTCATCGTAATAAAAGGCTGTATTTACCCAAAAATCTACGAAGTTTCATCGTATCTAATTGGAAGTGTTCAATTAGTCCATGAAGATTAAACAGATGAAAGGTTAAGCTGACTAGACTGTTTCCTAAAAATAAGATGAAAATACTAATTCATTGGAAGCCATGAAATCAGTGACTCTTTCATAAGAAATGAATTATTTTAAACAAATTGGTCGCAAAAAATATACAAGCAAATTTCTCTACAGCAATTTATGATACATATTTAAATCTTACTGCATGACAAGATTCCATTAGGTACATCAAGTAATCACCAATGTCTTTGCTTAATTATAATGCATTCACCAACTGTCCATTGTCAACTGATAGGAGGAAAACGTTACAGAGCATTGAAAAAGCAACAGGTTTCAACATGCAAACCTGTTACAATGATATTCAACTTCATAAATATCTTTATGCAACTTAGCAAGAACACACATACAGCTTAAAACCAAATACAGAAATGATCAGGCAGCAAGAAAAGTTAGCCACCACTGTTGATTAGCACACATTGTACATATGCTCTCTCTCATTCTCCTCATATATTTTGCTGAACTACTCCTTATTTCACACATAACTCAAAGAAAAGTTTTACATTTCCCTAGGAAACATATACCATTACAAGCTTACAATGCACTTTGCCTACTCATAGCTATATTATAATCATTTGCAGTGGTAAAACAAGTAAAACTGTAAGAGACAGAGAAATAGCCCAAAATGTTGATTTGAAATAGCTTGCTCTGCAAACATTATGTAATGGCTGACTATCTTCATTTAGCATTAAAGAACCTAGCACAGACAAAAACTGAGGCACAAAAGGGCAAACACTCCTGCTAAATCTAGCTTATTACTATGATTAATGTATTCTTGTGTGCATGTCACTCCCTCAATTCTTCAAACAACATTTACTGAGTAATTTGTTTCCCACAGGTTCATCCAGGGCAGCTCATCCACCAGAGTTTTATATACAGCATTCTCCCCTTACAAACTTTCAAGAACAAGGCTGCCTGGATCTAAATGACCTCCTAAAATGATTAAATCAGGATGCAAAACCAATGGTGGCATAGAAAGCCTTCCACAATAGAAGCTCTACTGGTAGTATCTTCAATATATTTGTAAAAAAGCATATTTAAAAGGTAGAGAGGACTCTTACAAAGATTCCTTCAGATTACTCCCATATAATAATTTGTTTGCAAACATAGCTTATTTTGGATTAGTTTAACTTGCACACAGCTTTTTCTCATTCAGTTATCTAATTTAAAGTCTATCATTATCTATAGAAACTTTCTAATTTTAAAATCCTTGCTATTTTCATTTTTTCTACCCATTTTCTGCATTAAATCAAACTGTGAGGATACTGCTTTTACACTAGGTTAAGCCAAGCGCCCCTTCAACAGAATAGGAGAGAAAATTATCTTCTGGTGCCACATTTTCCTTTCTAAACATTTCTCTTTGCCAACTTTAAACACTCTAACTGCAACTCTGCTACCTGCTCCACATGACTGATGTAAAACCTGCAAGAGCTGCCCTCCATTCTCCTCCCACACTGGCACAAACGTCACTGTGGTGCTGAACTTGGTCATCTCCTTCCATTCCCTTCTAAACCCTGTTTGCACTGCTGGCATTATAATACAAAACTTGACCCTACCCACTGCAGCAGCCCTCCCTCCTCCTTTCTAGCACACTTAGACTGTCCATAGCTTAAACAATACTTTATTATTTTTTTTAGCAAATACTTCTGTAGTTCCTACAGCTATTTGTGACAGGCACACAAAAGTAACCATCATGTTCTTTTCCTTCCTCTATCTTGTGCAAGCTATACATACAGCAGCCTCTGCCTGCTCAGCTCCAAATTCTCCAGGTATTTACACATCATAATTATAATGCATTCACCCCAACATGCCTTCTGATAGTACTATAAACTAATAGAACTATTCTAAAGCTGCATTTATCAGAAAAATACTTGTTCAATATAAATGACCTTTTGAACACAACCATATAAATTACCAGCTGCCCATAAACGAGGAAAGTCTAAGGTAGTAAATTTATTTGTTAATTTATATCAAATTACTACCATAAATTACTAAGAGAACAACAACCTACAAAGTACATGAAGTGACTCTTCTACAAATCAACAAATATTATCAGTACTGACAGTATCATTATTTTAAGAGAGTGACCAGACAAACTAGGACTTAAAGACTATTAAGTCAAAAAGTACTACCTGATGAAATTTGTGCTTTTTAGTGAACAAGTAATCATACACTGCAACGTAAGTGGATTAGTTAAGTTATGTCAGGAGATAAAATACTAACGAAATAGCAGAAGTTAACTCACCATTTGTCAGTCTATCAAAAAGAAAAATATCAAAATTCCAATTTCCAACCTTCTCCAGCATACACTGAAAGAAAACACAAAAGCTGTCATTTTTTTAATCAGTATATGCCTATCTTCTGTAGCCTGGAGGAGTATTTAAGATTTCAGAGACAGATCAAGTCTTAGAATTTCTACATACAAAAAAAAATAGTAGTGGAAGAGTAACTGCATTTGTCTGAAAAACCTTAAAATACACGTTACAAATTAAAAAACTGAGAAGTGCCTTGACAGAACTCGTTGGAGATTTTCCTTTCATCTTTTATTCAATTTCTTAAAAGAAGTAAGACACAATTAAAACCAATTAGGTTAAAACCAGAAACAGTATGAAAGACTCTGCATTCAGTCTTCTCTCACTTTAGTTTTTGCAATAAACTAGTAAACTCATCTGTGTAGTCTTTTACTTCATTTCCTCTTTCCTGTGCTTATAGAAGTAAAATAGTGTCCAGATGATTTAATAGGTATATGAGCCATAATGCATGTCAATCTCTTTAAGAACATGGCCTTTGACTTTCCATCTCCCTGACCTAGCACATCTTCACAGCTGTTACACATGAACTGTTCTTCTAGCAACAGGGACGAGCAAGAACAGCAAACAGCACTTGAGGCCTCAGCAGAGTTCAGCAGTCACGATCTTTGCCTCCCCTACCTGTATCAGAAATTCCTGTCCAGCATACTTTACAACAGACACCTGCCTACTCCTGTTCTCATTAGATTGGTAGAGGTGTTCAGTGATCAAATGATACATTCTAGCTTTTCTCTACCAGCCACTAGAACTCTGCTACCAGAAGAAACAAGAGAATTGACAAGATCTCTTTACTATTCAATTACATGGACATTTTTAAGCTACATCCTCCAGGTTACCAGATTTCTTCCTACACCACAGCCTGATCATGTTCAGCACAAACAGTTTGTTGTATTATAAGTATATTCTTTTTCTGTGTCAAGATGACAAACAAATAAGCACTGCATGCAGTGCCACAGCCTTGGGGATCTTGAACAACCTGACCAATCTTTGCCTGCTCAGTCCCCTGCGGCACTATCTATCCCCTGTCCCCACAAGAGGTGGTGCTCTTAGCACCACCTCTCTTTGTAGTACCTGCCCTCCCTGCTTTAGTGCTGCACAGGCACACTACAGCTATCAGAGTTTTCTAGAAGAATTGCCAGCCAAAAAAAAAAGTCGGTTTGGCATAAACATGTCCTGAGAAACCGTTTACAGCATTTCATTGAGTTTGCAGCAGTAGTTAATGACTCTTTCAGATGTTCATTAGTGAGGTTAGACTAAAAATGAAAGAGGGGGAATAGCTGCCCAAATTGCTCAACTGCATTCTTAAATACAGATACACGTTCCTGTCTTCATTTTTGTCTTCAATTATTCAAATGCATCCTTCACTCACCGATTTTTTAAAAAAATAAAGAAAAAAACACTCATCACATAAAAATCATCCCAGTATGACTGTGGGCAGTAAGCGAGTTTGTTAGAAACCATGCAATTGTTGGCTGGACTTTATTAATACATATATATATATATACACATTTATCTAAACACACAAAAATACTTACACAGGTAAAAAAACCCATACTTAAAATTTGTATTTGGCTGCACTTTTAACAGGCAATGTAGTTACACAGACTAGCAAGCATTTTAAAAATCATGAAAAAAAATTAAAAGTCAAGCAACCAACCTTTGCTTGTCCATTATAATCATCATCTAAAATGTTTGAAGAATTTGGAACAGTGATACCACGGAAAAATCGGGAAGATCTCAGGTATCGCTGGAAACTAAGTAACCTTCTCACATTTCTCGCAGACACAGAGACTTCAATTTCAGAGTTTGCTACAACAAAAGAAAAAAAAAACAAAAACAAACCAAACAAGAAAATAAACACTCTCTCTAAAAAACTTTTATCAAAAAGATGAGTTTTCAGGGAAGTTTAGCACAAAGACAATGCGATTTTTGGGTGTATGAAACATTTTAGCCACAAATACAGACGTTTTTATTTATAATAAGCACAGAGCCTTGGCTTGGAAAAAAAGTTCTGTATAAGCATCCTGTGAAGAAAAAGCAGTATTTAAATCACAGCTGCAACTTATCTTTTTAAGGAACTCTGTTACTGAAAGGACAGAAACGCTATGGAATTTGTGTAAAAACACACCCAGTACCACAAACAAATTATTTTTGGAACACTGCTCTCATGTATGCACATCCAATCTGTGTCCCTAACAAGTCACATAAGGTATGTACACCAGTATCAGTAATTGCTTGTTGGTACAGGAGATACAAGTAGGCTTTGAACATCTACAAGTAACTTACAAAGATTTTAAAACTCAGAAAATCTCTTAACTCTGCTACTGGCAAAACTTTAAAAACACTCAAGTCATTTTGATGCTTTTGCAGATAATTATGCTCTTCTGCCAAATGAGTACCACATTTATTTTCACAGCATATGCAATTCTCTTTCCCAGTACAGTGAAAACACGACAGAAAATTATTTTAGCCTTTTCAAATGTTAAACCAAATATTTTTGTTTTACTCTTATTAGGTTAACTGGTTTATTTGAAGGACTGATGCTAGCTTATGTTCAATTCCACTTGATATGCCTGAAGTGTTTTAAAAACCTCAAGATCAAACTATGCATAGCCATAGCTTTCTGCAATGAGTCAGATAATCTCATTTTGAAATACTTAAGGACAAACTCAGCCTTTACTTTCTTTTCAGCAGTACCTCCAATAGCAGTTTTATACAACCAACAGTCAATAATCTGGATATTCGCTCATTCTACCCAAAATGACTCGTGTTAAAAGACAAAAAATAAGGTATGAAGTAAGCAAGTCAATGCTAACACGTTCTTTTCAAAAATGCAGATCCTCAAAACCAACATGAGCTCAACTCTGGTGTACAGATCTCTTGTCCTTCCAAGAACACAGCATGTTAGAAGTTGGTGAAGTAAGGAGTTACAACTTTTGTTCTTAAAGTCAGTCTAAAATGTTGTGCAGGAAAAGGTGTAGTAGCCTTATTGACAACCTCAATTAAAACCCTTAGTGACTTCTAGCGACAGCAGCTTAATTCTATGTAAAATAAATCTTTATTTAAATTCTTCTCCCTGCAGAAGATCCAACTTACTTTCTGTTCTAGGTTAGCTCATTATCATTTCCAAACCACACTAATAAAACACCTCTGAACAGAACCAAATCATGTGAACATACAGTATCTAACCAAACGCAGCAGAATTCCACATCGACACTCAGCCCTAATGGAGACTGAACTGACAACACTGGAATGTTCTTTCAGACTTGCCTGAAACACTGCATCAAGACATTGAAGTCCACATCAGTTTCCAAGGGCTAAGACAGGCAACTTCACATGAAATATCTTTCATCAAGTTACCATGCTCAAGGCCAAGGACACTTCCTCTGAAGACACTGGTACCTACATCTCCCAGTTAAGTAAACAGGAGAACTACATATTGCAGAGGTTGTTTATAAAGCAACATTTGTGCACAGCAGGCAAATAAATAGATTCTGTCATGCTGCATTGCCAGTATTTCTAAGCACCTTTGTTAACATGAGGTTACAATCTGAGCACTGCCAGCCTGCAGGACAGAGCAGCAGGGAGCAATACAGCTGCTGCTGTTACCAGAGCACAGACTTCAGGTAAGAAGTTCTTCCCCTTCAATCTTGATCCAATCCCTTCAAAACCCAAATTTCAAACCAGAATCTATTAGGTTGAAAATAGAATAATCAAAAATGGTTATAATTAGGTCATAAAATGTTCTAAATTATCCACAAAGTCACATACAAAAGCCAGGAACTTCCCTAAAAGTAGGAAAAATGAGCACTCTTCCAGAAGCACAGATACTTTTCCTAGATCTCGAGTACTCTTCTACAGTTCTATACTTTACAAAAACCTATTTTTGTTGTCATGCTACAAATTCAGTTTCACTGTCACAGAGGCCACCTGTTAACCTTTGACAGACCAGTATGATGTACGTAATACAAGTGAAACAGCAGCTTCTGGCAGCAAAGCACAGAACAGAACACAGAGGTGCAGTAATTCGGCAGTATAGGCCTGTGTTCCACCTATTCTTGTAAGTCACTGGGGGGAGTTTGCACGTGTTCTTGCTTCAGTATTTCTTCTGATGATGATGACGCAGGTACAGAGGCAAATGAGTTATTTGGCTTTCTGTGAAGCTGAACCATCATTACTCTTTACTCCGTGATATGCTATTGAGACTTATTCCTCTTTTAAATATATTTAAACTCTCTAAATTATCACCAATTTGTATAGCTCATGAACCATTAATTTTACACATTAATCTTAGTTTTTCTACCTTGTTTAAAAAAAAAAAAAGTAAAGAAGAAAAAAGTACTACTCCAGCTGATGCAATTCAAACAAACCATTTCAGCCTTCCTGGCAGCAACGCTGCTTATTACAGAATCACAAAACAGCTGAGGTAGGAAACAACTTCTGGGGTTCATCTGGTCAAACTCCTCTGCTCGAGCAGGGCCACCTCAACCACATCACCCAGGACTGCATGCCAGAGGCTTTTGAGTATCTCTCAGGATGGAGACTTCACAGTCTCCCTGGGCAACCTGTGCCAGCACTTGGTCACCCTCACAATGAAAAAGTGTTTCCTGATCTTCAGAGGGAATCTCCTGTATTTCGTTTTGTACCCATTGCCTCTGGTCCTGGCACTGGGCACCACTGAAAGGAGCCGGGCTCTATCCTCTTTGCATCCTCCCTTCAGGCATTTATATACATTGACAAGATCTCCCTGAGCATTTTCTAGGCTGAACAGTCCCAGCTCCTTCAGCCTTTCCTCATCAGCCCCTTAATCTTTCTCACCTTTGTTGGACTCTCTCTGGTACATCCCTGTCTCTCATTTACTCGGGAGCCCAGAACTGGACACAGAACTCCACATGAGGCCTCATCAGTGCTGACTAAAGCAGCAGAACACCTCTCCCCATCTGCTGGCAGTTCTCCTCCTAGTGCAGCCCAGGATACCATTTGCTTTCTTTGCAGCAAGGGCACATGCCTGGTTCATATTCAATCTGGTGCCCACCAGGAGCCTCAGGTCCTTTTCTGCAAAGCTGTTTTCCAGCTGGTCACCCCCAGCCTGTGCTGGTGCCTGGGGCTGTTCCTCCCCAAGGGCACAGCTTTGCACTTCCCTTTGAACTACCAGTTATTGTACATGTATAGCTCAAGCTAGGTAATAACATCTTGACTAAATGTCTTATCATTTAGATCTGCAATGATCAGAGTAACTTCCAAATGAGGAGATCTTGAGCCTTGCCATCCCTCTGCAGATTCAAAACCCTAATTCAGGGGACTACACCAACCTGAGAAGTAAATTTCCCTCTCTGTAACAGGTAAGTATTTGCCACAAGACAATTCAGAACACGCGAGTCAGATGCGGAGGTTTGACAGGTTATTAACTGAAAAAGGAAGGCTGACACAGAAAATAGCTGCCTTTCAAGGAAGGGAGTGGGGGGAAGATAGGTTCTTCAGCTGCAGCAGCACTGATAGCAACCGTGCCTGCTGTTTCCTTCTCCTAACAGATAAATTATTATTACGGACAAAAAACCCACCTGCTTTGTGATTCTGGTAGGGAGAGCAGCTAAGACCAGTTCACGGGAAGGACTGGTAAAATGAACAACATAGTTGTGCAGTGGAAATGTGGTATTTCCCTCCTGGCACATTCATTCCTTTATGTGCATGATTAATACGAGAATGACAGCCTACCCTCTTCCATCGTGAGTCACGAAACAAAATGCTAATTTCAGAGACCCTATCAAGGTTCAATAATGCATTTATTATGGAAAGAAGGTGGTGAAGAATGAAAAGTGCATTACATTTGCTCATGAATAAGCATGCTGCAAAACCATCCCAGCCCAAACATCTTTCATTTGGAGCTTTCAGTGTGCTAAATACCCTTCTAATATCCAATACTGACCATTGGCTCTTAAGGACAGTTTAAAGACAAAATAGCATGAGAAAACAAATACGACATTTTAAAGCCTTAAGAACTGAAAGAGAATGAATGCAAAGTCTGCGTGGTGGGTATGAAGGATGCTACAGCATTCAGAAGTGCCTTTGATGCACAGAACCAGAAGACAAACTGTAGACCTTCGTATGTAGTCAACGGCAGCTGCCCTACGACATTCCCCTTCCCTTCCAACCTGAAGTTATCACCCAAAGTATTTTCCAAGGTTTTTGCACTTTTTGTTTGCTTTATTAAAATGGTTATATTCTTCTTCCTAAGCATTTTAAGTGAGATACTGGTATAATAAAAACATTCCTTTCTCTAAAAAAAAAAAGTAATCCTGGTTACTAATATCAGTTCTTTTGCTAATGTTATGCATACACAGTAATAAAATAGAATAATGCCAAGTTGCCTTCATGCAACAGATTTCATCTGTATTCTAAGACACTAATTTTAATCTCTTCCCACTTCCAATCTTTTAAGTGTGTCATATTTCATGAAGACCTAAAAAAACGTTTTATCACATTTCACAGGGATATTAAATTTTTTTTCTCATACACATATAAAAATAGTAAAGACAAGTGATAATCACTTATAAAGTCATAATATGCTGCTGATAGATTGACTCTCGGAATTTTTGCATCTTTCATATAGCACGGATAGTCAACAAAAGGAACAACTTAATCACGATTTGGTTTAATTTTTTATTGATGGAAAACTGAAACCCTAACAATATGCTTCGATTTTCTTTTAATGAAAAGATAGTGTCTCACACCCTCTGGTCGAAACAAGGCTATCCAGCATAAGAACTGTACCTCCACTTCTTCCCTGATACAGCCCAAAAGGCAAAGAG